GGGCTCCCCTTCCCCCCCCCTGCGCAGCGGCAGCGGTCGCTCGCCAGCCTCGTCTACAGGAGCCCTCGTAGCTCTAGGGCTCACACGGGACAGGACGGGACGGGACGGGCCAGCGCGGAGCGCTCGCAGGAAACAGCCCCGGGCTCCGAGCTGCCCATCTCCGCACGAGGCTGCCGCGCTATTTATAGCCGCCCAGCTCAGCACAGTTTGGTGGGTTGGGGCGGAAAGGGCTGCAGATAACATCAAGACAGCTTTATGCAACGATTCAGGCACTGCTGCTGCTTTGCTCCTCCTCTGTTTAACTTCTGCAGCCCAAGGACCTGCAACTTGCAGCTGAACCACAGCAACGGGCACAGGAGCCTGGCAGCACGGGGACATGGTTAGACAGTCAACAGCAGGGGCTGAGAAATTTCTACTGTTTCACTATTTATATCTATCCCTGAAGGGAAGTGACTTCCTGCAGAAAAGAACAAATTTCACAGCTACCAATGCACAACCCTCCCTTCCCCACACACGCTCTTCTCCTTCACTCAGTCCCCTCACGTAAGAACAAGCAGTCGAACAGCTTAACACAGTTGCACATAAAACCAGCAAGATGCAGCAGTATTTCTTATGGCCTTACACATATGAGGGGTCCCTGGAACCAGGAAGTCATTTCAGGAGGTGCCAGAAGCAACCCACACCGGTAAATTGCCTTTTTTTTTTTTTTTTTTTTTACTGACAAAGGAATAACTCTAGTGAAAAGATACAGATGAGCCCATCGCATTTCAGTTGCTCCCTTTTCCTTCTGCATGTAGCAATATTCACTGTCTGAAGCAGAGGAGGAGTCCAACCCTTTCCATCCATTCACAAGTCACTGGCCCTGTTTGGAAGTTGGGCCCTTCAAATAATGAAATTCCTAATGTGGAAAACAAGAACCTTTTAGGCAACTGAGGGCAACTATCAACAGTACCCAGCTGTCAGGCTGGCAACTGTCCGTGGGCACGGGCAGGCTCCAAGCACCGTTCAGTACAGCAGGACGAACAATGTAGCCTATTTTACAGCTGAGATCATGACATATTCTTAGGGGCAGCTATTCAGCGTGGCATATCCGATACAGTAACTCTGCTTCTGTGAGACTTCTTTTCAGAAAGTAACTGTACAGAAGGTAAAAGGTATCTAAAAGCAACACTATCTAAAAGCAAATGAACGAGGCAAGATATAAAAGCCCTCAACATCTGTACTTCTCTGTATTCTCTGTGTCTTTGGACTGTAAAAACTTCAGGGCACACAGTTTTTATTTTTATGCATTATGAAGCACTATATTGATGTCAGACAACTGATAAATAACTAGAGAGCCAAACACACAGAAAAAGAACAAAAAGAGAGCACCTCTGCAGAGCTGAGAAGCTGATCTAATTCTGTCAGCTAAGGCATTTCTGCAAGGTATGAAACTGATCCGCAGGGATCAAACAACTTCACTTATTCCGGGCTCCAGGCGAGGTGCTGCAAGGAGATGGGAGCAGCTCTGTGGTCACTTTGAACATGGCCAGACAGCACTGCCAAGCGAGGACAGGTACCAATCAGCAGCACTGTACCTTGTTGTGGGTAAAACTGCTTCAGCAGCTGGTCTATAAAACCTCTCTGTGGTCATAAACACAGAATTAATAGCTATTTACAAATCCAGTGACATGCAGCAAATCCAATGAAGAAACTAAGGGAATAAATCTAGCTAACCATGTAGAATAAGACACGGAAGGTCAAAAGGCTCCGCGTTAACAAGCTAATCCGAAAGCGACATCCTTCCACCAGGCAGTGGTCACACCCTGGAAACCAGCTCCAGGAAGCACGGAGGGGGAAACCGGCACCAGTAAAGCAATTCTAAGAATGGGACACATGGAGATTGTACAGATACATACATACGACAGGACACGGAATTTGCTCATCCTGGTTGGGAATTCCGCATTAAAAACACTTGAGTCTTGCAAAAATGTAAAAAAAAAATGCAGTAAGGGTTTCTTCTATGGGTATGGAAAAGCCAAGACATTATGTGAACTCACTGCAACAAAAGGACTCCAGAAAGAGGGGAAGAAAAAGAAGAAAACCAGAGGTCAGCCACAGGAATCAAATGTCAAACAGAAGCGAGGGTCGCGAGTCAGCGGCCCAGTGACGGAAGCGGAGCTCTCCGCCAATGAAGGGGGCACTGTCTGGGCTTCTAGCACACACCAGCAATTAAAACAACGTGATAACGATCAGCGTTTTATAAACCGAAAAGTACCCACGTGAGGTTACAGCGAAGACTCCTGGACAGCTATATGGGAGGGTCTGCAAAATCTCTCCTCGCAGTCACCTTCCCAGTCCCCTCAGCATCTCCAGCTCTACTCCATTATTTGTGCTCCGTGTGCCCAGCTGGGCACTTCTCAGCACAGCCCCTCGCCGACGACGCAGCTGAGCACCATCGAGCTGCGGGCGCAGCGGCCTGAGATGTCACCGACACAGCATAAGGGAACTTACTGCCTGCGTCAGCCTCGAAAAACAGGAGCGGCGATCCAATAAAATCCTGAAATCAGTCTTGAGTTCGAATTTGTCTTGCTGCAAATAAACAGAAGGCTGAAACAAGTTCATTCTACCAGCCCAGACAGTCCCAAGCAAAACACTTAAAGCAGATGAAACTCTGGTCAGCTACAAGAATGGATAAAAAACACACCAGACCCGTCTCCTCAGGATGAGTTAGAAGCGGGGCAACTCCTGGCACGGTGATTGCTTAAGCCCCCAGTATGTTTTCCATGGGCTCCAGGCATCCTTCCCAAACACATTTATCAAAGGCAGCAATCGAGCATGACGCTGAAATCATCCCAGCAAACTAGAACAAGACCGAAAGATAAGGGCTCAAATCCACCTAGAAAATGAGCCAGAGCCAAAAAGCAGCACTTTAAAAGTTACCTGATGACTCTGGAATGGAATAAACATTTTCCAGGGTTCTAATTAAACATGAAGTGATATTTAAGGACAAGCATAAGAAATATGTTGTTATTTTTTCTACTGCCTTAAATTACATACAAAACTACATCCCTTCCTTAAGGCATCAGATTATTAAACTGCATTTTCTCACAGACAAGAATTCAAAACACACCGGCCAACTCCAAGCTACGCCTGCCACACACACGATTACGAAACAGCACTGCAGAATCTCTGTATTAACGTAGATTTGTACCACCTCCGAGAGCCAGCAAAATAACCTTACTGTGAACCACAGCATCCCATGTAGAACCCGGTAACACTACGGCACTATCGACAAGTTAAATATCGCTCTGCCTCGCCCAAAAGCAGCCAAATTATTAGCCTTGTCCATGCAAGCCTGCCCAGCCACCCACTCAGGCAGCTCAAGTGAGCCAGGCACTTACCATAGCGACATTGCCAGGCCATCTGAAATAACAGCATCAGGCTGGGAAGGAGCAATCGGGGCTGCTACAACACCCTGAAACGGAGCAAGGGAAGCACGTCCAGAACACAGCTGGGGGTGTCATCCTCGGTGCCACAACTCCATCCTTCCCACACTGCTAAACGGCACGGAGACCTTGGCCAAGCCAGATGGGAAAGCCAGCAAAAACGTCCTGCTATGGGAACGCTGGGCCCCAAGAAAATGAAAGTTCCACCTCGAGGAGAACCGAATCCTCTGCCCTCGTGCCGAGGCGGCTCACAGAAGAACAGAGCATCCTCCCACATCCAGCGCCTGGATTCCCATCAACGCTGCTACTGGATTCTGCAGGGAGCCTTATTTGGTAGCAGCTGGTAGATGCAGGGCCAAATCCTGATCCTTTTACTTCCACTGTTATTCCAACAGGATTACACGATTGAGAGCAGAAGGCAGCTTTTGGCCTTCATCCATTTGATTAATACCTAAGGGATCTTAAGATTTATTTATTTTTATCTGATCTGTAACAATGGTTGTTATCAGATTTTCCTGAGTTATTTATTAGACAACATGCACTTTTAAGATTCTTTTTTTCCTCATCCATTTAGCATTAGTTCTTAAAGGAAACTCCAAAGTTTTTAGGCTTGTTTTTTCATTATTGCTACTTTAGTATCCTGCAAATACCTTTGACCACTTCTAGACATCCTAATCAGCTCCAGCAACAAGGCAGATGAGCCCCCTGAACACTGGGCTTTAATAAAATCCCAGCAACAGAGCCCTAGAGGAACACTGTGCCCTGCACCTCAGTACACAGCCGCCGGAAAGGCGGGCAATGTGCTCTCCCGTGGCAACCAAGAAAGCTTTTCTTTTTTAGAGAAGCAAACTGCAACATCAAAAGAGATATCTGATGTAAAATCTTCTAATTTAGCAATGTGGTTGTGAGGCAATAAGATTTCCTCTCAAACACAGTGGCTTAATCAATCCTGTAATTCAGCACTGCCAGTACATTTAAGCACACTTTAATATTCATTTTATATCTATATTTATTTGAGAGAACAATTACAAGCCCAACAATGTACATTCTGGCAATGTGGTCTAAGTAAATCCATGTTCTCAAAACATGCAAAGGTTTAATGTTAGCTCTTTAGTTCCTGGAACCTGAACTATAGTTAGAAGGAATGACAAAAGCTACAAGTGTGTGTGGTTTTGTGTTTTGTTTTATTTTTTTTAAAAAGGAAGTAACAGCTGTTGCTTTCACATAGCATCCAAAAATCTCCAGCAGTGAGGCAAATGCACAGTACACCAATGGTAAGACAGCACTGGGAGGCTTCCCAAATTTTGTCAGAGCAGATGAGTCTCAAAGAGCATGTAAATGCAACATAGACTTGCGTTAAGCAATAAAAACATTGCTAGAGCAACTTAACACAGGCTAAAGCCCCATCTTTTCCTCCATGCTCAGAGAAAGAGCTGGGCTGATTGTGGGGTTAAACCAAGAAAGCTGATGGTTTTAAACCTGTGTTCAAGATGTTGCAAAAGAGCAGTGCTTACTATCGAATCCAAACTGAAGAGCTACCTCTGGTTTAAGCAGAGGTCCCAGTCTCTACCTGGCACAGCCACTGCAATTTACAATGCGTGAAGTCCCTACAATGTCCTCTTTTAAACTCTCTGTTAGATGATCGCACAATAAAGAAATGTTGATATATATTTAGCGGAAGAAACCAGAGGCAGAATGTGAACTAAACCATAAATTCATGAAAATTCCTTCTTCATTTGTTGCAGACTTCTTGTACCCTGTTTCTTTATGGAAATGCTTTTCTTCTTATCGTAATACTTATTATTTCAATACTGGTATCGAATCAATAAATTCCTCACTCTACACTCATGTGAGAGCCTCAAAAGATTTGTCCTCTGGAAATAAAAATAGCACTCTCTGTCTATAATAAGCACACTTCTGTTTATTAGGCGTAAGAGGAGAAATAAGGCGCGCTTTCTGCGGTCGCTCGTGCTGCCTGCCATGTGTTTGAGCGATCACTTTAGTCTGCTCAGGAAACTCACACAAAGCTGGGGAGAAACATCCCACTTCCCGCCGCCTCTACCACCTCGCTGGCCAGCGCCACAGAAGCAAGAGGTTTGTGTTTCCTCTGTTACTTTTAAGCATCAAAAAAGTATATTTGTGGCTTACAAAGTCCCCAATACTAGCTACTGTTTCAGATGAATGGGCAGTGGGACTGCAGCGGGGCTTCTCCTGTTAGTAGACTAGTGCAAATAACTTGTTTTTCACTCAGAAGGGGATGAAAAGCAGGCAGTACTTGTTTTTTCTTGCTTGGGCTCTTCAGGATGACTATTGGGTCCCAAAGGTGTGAATCAGAAAGAGAATCACAACCTGCCTTAGTGCAAAAGTCCAGCTGCACCACAGGCTGCTACACAGCATAAAAACTGAAAACCCGCTCGTTCAAATACTGAAAAAAGCCCATTCATCAGACATAAAGCTTAGTACCAGTACCTGCTTAGTTCCTGCTTTTCACAGTTTAAGTCAACCTGAGATTGCTCTGCTACTGGAGCTAGACAGCTTCCGATATCCCTGAGAGCTACTTCAAAGTTCGGAGAGCTGCTCCCTCTGTTTGCAACTCTGCTGGAATACGCGCTGCAAGTGTCTCTTCAAGCCGTTCAAGGTAATGACAAATGGCTGTAAAAACCAAAACATTGCAGAAAAATTGCTCATAAAAGTAAACAGCAGTCTGAGCCCGAATTAATCCAAACAAAAAGCTCTCTCGATGCCACCCAAGGACACCGCTGAAATCCTGTCTGGTAAACAAAGCGCGGTCTCAACATGCTAGAACCGCCGTGCTGGAAACGAGACCTATCTGATGAATGAAAGGAGAGCGCTGCCCATCCCATTCATTGCCTGGTTTCCGAGGCTCATTATGTGACACTGGCAATGAAAGGCCACGTGCCAAGAGAGAAGGAAGCTTTGCTGTCAAGGTCCACACGAGGAGCAGGGCTCCCACACTCCGCACCCTCGTCTGCCACCACCGCTTTGGAGGTTATTGCATCTTCATCCACGGCAGGTCACTGTTAAGATGATATTATCACTCTGCTGATTCCAGCTGAGTCCCTGACACTGCTCACTGCTTCTTCCCTATCTCCTCACACATATCTCCATACCTCTCTATTTTATTTCTTCTTTCCTAACTCATTTTTAGCCATCTGTTCAAAAATAGCTGATCAAGATTTCCCCTTGCTACACCAGTGCCAGCCTGAGACAAGGAACGGGACTAAAAGCAGGGTTTTTAAGAAGCTTGATGCTGGTACAAATCCGACAGGTCCCAAAACAGCTGATCAAGCACTGTATGCACTTCTTTCCCAGCTCAGACTCCAACAACAGCAGTTAAACAGATGTTAACTATGATTTGCCTCAGGCATTCCACATCGAGTTCCCTATACCTATTTGTCCCCCCGTGTTATCAAAGTGGTGCAGTCACATGCAGCTGGGCAATTGGGAGGCTCACATACAAGTCAGCTGAAATTTTACGGTCTTGTAAGCAAGAAGTTTCAGTTTTCACTTGGAAAGCAGATGATAGGACCAAAGGAAGCAGAATGTACCTTCAAAGTATTTGACAATGACCACGACAAACAAGTAAATTCACAGGAACTGTGTGGTTATAGCAGATTTTGCACCCAAGTTGTGATGGCACTAAGCTCCAACAGTGATTTAATGGTAGCTACAGGCACGGTCTCAAGCTAACTGCACCAAAAGATGGGGTTAGAAGAGATTTACATCCTCAAGGGAAGTAAAAGCCTTCTTGCATCTCCAACTGTCACTCTGACAGACCTGTCCAACAGCTTTGACCACCTTGGGCAGTCTGCGCTCAGTCATTCAATAGCTACATTTAAAATTAGGCCTGCCTTTGCGGAGAAAGCTTCTCAAAGCCGCATCACTGCTATAATTACCCACAGGGTTGTCTTGTTGCCTGCCTCCGGGACAAGAAAAAGCACACACGCAGCAGCACGCAGAAGAGGAGATGATGAAACAGAAAGAAATCAACGGTAACAGAACAAATCAGTCCTTGATACTGTAATACCTGGGTTGATTTGGAAAATGTGACACTGTTTAGCTGAAGGTCTTCTGCAGATTAACACATGCAGCAATAGCTGCGGACAATATCTGTTTATAATCCTTGTTCTTAACATGTTTATGTTTGCATAGTACAAATGGCTGGTTTAAGCTTTTTCCAGCCATGCTGACGCAGGAAATGATGCAAAACACAACAAATGATTAAGTAGAGATGCAGGGATGTGCTCAGCTGCACTCAAAAGTAAAATCTAATATACCTTTTACCTCAGCATCCCAGTATCCTGTGGTAAGCAAGGGTTCCCTTTCTAGCACTGAAAAAGAGTCTGTGTCTTTGCTCTCCTCACTGATAACAATACACAGATATTAAAGCAGACTATGGCATCCTTCCTCCTTACTCACGTGGAACCTCTGCCACGAACAGCATTAAGAAACCACAGGGTTCATCCAGTCTCCTGCAGAAACAATTCTGATATTCAGCACTGTGCAGAAAAGGCCTTGAAAGACTTCTTACTTTAAAGCAGAGGCACTGACTAGATCAGGTCACCTGGTGCTCCAGCACAGCTGAGATGCGTTTGATGCACTGAACATTATCCCCTTTGGAGGACTTCACTATTTCCTGGTGTAGCCGTTAAGAACCTCCTCACCGACACAGTGCAGACCCTGAGGGTCTGAGTTCAGAAAGCAAATTACAGGGGCAGCAACACATAGCGGACAGAGGAAGTAACTCTGCGCGAGTGATGAAGTGAGCGAATAGATCTCACACGTGACTACACTGCCACGAGGTGGGGCGGGGGGGCTTTCAGTGCTGGAACCAACGTGACAAAACGATCACAAGTGGCATTTGAAAGTAAGGCAGACTTTCGAATGCCAGCAGAGAAAGGACCGCTCTGGATAACGCCTAAGACGCTGCATCATGCAGAGAGCTGTTTTCTCTCCTTCACAGTGAACACAAGATAAGCATTACTGAGCTACACGTACTGGTGCCGAACGCAGCAGCAACTGTGTGTCCCCGTGCCTCAAAGACAACAGTAAGTTGATGGCAGAAGAATAACTAGCCTGTTGTTTGTAAGACATGACACACAACCCGAGGATTAGACAGTATTTTAACAGCTACAAAGAAAAAATCAGGCAGCTATAGTAAAAATAGCACAGAAGAGGGCAACTCCCTATGGGTGGTTCCTAGCCTCAGGCTAAGGGAAATCTGTCTTGTCCTAGGGTAACAATACAGATACAGAGGAACTACCACTATAGCTCCTCCTGGGGAGTCGCTGCCCCTTGCAGTGGCGTAATGGGTCCAGAGGAAGCCTAAAAGGGGGATAGCCTGACTGCGCCATGGTGTCGGGGGGTAAAGGCCTGATAAGGCACCTTGTGCAGCCAGGGAGGGGAAGCAGGGCAGAAAGCTGAGAACAAGGAGTAACCAGCCTCGAGCCCGCAGCTAGAGCAGACAGGAGGCCAAACATCACTGCATGGCTACAGGAAGGAACAACAACAAACAAAAAGAAAAAAATGGGGATGCATCCATTAAAGGCATAAAAAATCAAGGGAAGTACATGAGGATTCTAGAGCTGTGAATGTGAAGCAAACAGTCTATGAGCCACAGACCACGGGGGTGGGAAAGCGATAATGGAGAAGACTCCATACGATGGGGAGGTGAGGCCGTGCAGGGCCCTCAGGAACGAGGAGGGGACCCCTGGCAACTTTGGTGTGGGGGGGAAAGGGGAGATGCAGCTGTGGGGGGAGGAGGGATGGCATGTGCTTGGGGGTCAAATATCACATAATGCAGGACAGTCATGGGACACAGGAACTCTCACTTGCAGAACCGTAAGGAAATGTTACAGGGAAATGAAGAGAAAGGAAGGAAAGAGGCAAGGCAGAGTGCTGTAGAGCCTGGGCACACTGACTGCAGCTGGAGAGGGAGCTCCTGCAAGGCGTGAGCCCGGGCACTGTGCTGAAGAGGCTCCACGCTGGGCTGTTAGAGAGAACCATTTGGGGAGGCTCCTGCAGGGCCACAGAAAGGCATTTTGGGGAGGAAACCTGCCAAATGGTGGAGGCTCCATTTCAGGGACTTGCCAAAAGCCACCACAAGCAGTTAGGGGGTCACAAAGGACTTAGGGGCAGTTGCTGGCAGACCCCTGAAAGGTAGTTTGGTATAGGAGTCCCTGAGGAGCCTATCCGGATGTGAGACCCGCAGAGGCAGTCCCCGAGGGACACTTTGGGGCAGAGTAACTGCTAGCAGATTCCTGAGCGCGGCCGGCATTGGGCAGGCACGGGAAGGCCCCTCGGTATGTTGGGGAAGGGGCTGTTTGCACAGACCTGAAAAGCTGATCGGGGGAAGGATGGGCAACTGGGGCATCACAGGGAGCTGCTGGCACATGCAGGACGGGGCGGTTTGGGGTGACTGCAAAGCTCCCTAGAGAGGAAGGTCACCGGCAGGTCCCCAAGGGCCGGTCGGGGA